CACTTTATGGATATCTAAAGCTGTTTCAAGAAGAGTGTTCAATGGAGCACCATAGTGGATCTGGCAGAAGACGTGATATTGACTCAGACCAGCTTCAACTTATGGGGCAAGGTTATGAGGAAAATTACTGGAGCATTGTCATCTTCAGTGATGCAAACAGTGAAAACTACATAGATATGCTGAATGACGCCATGAAGATGTGCTAGTGATAACGTTTGTGCAGGACAATTTGTCCTATGTGTAATGTTCCATAATTGTGCAAGTGTTTAGTCAGCATTCAGACATACGGGTTATTCCTTGGCCAGCGAGATAGGAGAAATAGGATTGATAAAAATGACGGCTACACGAGTTCTTAAAGGAAAAGATACTTATTGACTATAGGATTAAGCAATTACAAGACCGGGGTAGCTATAATTTATTTAATGGATAAATGTTCAAACTTAATGTTAGTAGGATAAATTTATTGACTACTTTATAACCAGCAACTGTTATTTACAGTAATGATTTTAATGTTTTACTAAATATGAGAAATAAAAATAAAAGCAATATTTATATCTACAGATGCGATTCCAATATAATTAATTATTTATTTATTATTACTATAAACAATTCGTCCCATATCTAATGACTGCTATATCCCGGTCTTACAAATGTTATTGATTTAAGGTCTAGCTTCAATTTCTTCCTTGTTCTGGAACGAATACTTATGCTATGAACCTTTGTCATAACACGATGCACAAAATGAATCACTTTAGTCAATACTTTAATTAAATTTTATGGGGAGGTAAAATAGTTACAGAAGTAAGGTTGCATATTATATAGAAACGTATTATAACATTGTGTTTAAAACTAACTAATAAATGACTAGCACAAAACAATTTTGATTTAAAATACTTATTAATCTTATGAAAAGTGAATTAAATAATGTGTCAGTTACCTGAAAAGTTATTAGGTATACACCTATATAAGAAAGAAATAAATATTATGTTTTAAGAAATAAATGTCTGAAATTATAATGTCACTAAAATAGTTTTATTTGTTATCCTTTATGAGAATTATACTTAGTATTAGTCTTAATCTGTAAGAAAATTGTTACTTTTACATTAATAGTTAGCACATATAATAAAAGTTATTTATTTATATTTATTAATATAATTTATTTCTAAAATAATATATATATTTATTTTTGTTGTCTTTTATAAATATTAAACGTCAAATATTTTATTTATATATTATTATTATTGATTTTATATAAAAAAAAAATATAAAAACCATTAATAAAAAACCTGAACTTAAAAATGATATCCCGGAATTGAACCGGAGCCCTTCGACTTCATTATTCTATCATTCTTATTCATCCGAGCTACCGATCGCATTTTTTATGATATCGAAAATGCGGGTTAGTTTATAACTTTTATTATTGTCTATTATTAATTATTGACGCCATCTTTTAGTTGGTTTGCTTGACTTGACTTAGATGGCGCTGTATTAAGTCCTCGGAAATCAGAAAATTAACATAATTTATGTGTTTTTGAATATAAATATATTATTGTTTTTTAATTATTATTTTAACCATTAAAAACCTTATTGTGTGCCTCTGCGGTGTAAAGTATTCAAGCTTTGTAGGGTTATTTTCATTTAAAAGCAGCGCCATCTAGTTATCAATGGTAGCGTTATGCAAAACCTGTCAGTCAATAGTCGACCTTAAGCTCTCCATGCATTTTTGTCACCCTTAGTACTTGTATGCTTTTTATTGTTTGAAAATTTTATCAATAAAGTCACTAACGGACTACGGCTATGGATTAAATTGTGGGCAGAACCTGTAAGTAAATATTTAAAACAGCTATTCTTAATAGCAAGTTATTTTTGATGCAAAGAGAATTTAGGTAATAGGAATGTTATGTATTTTTTTAAGGTTGAATGTGTTTACATATATAAATAAACTAGCTGTAGCTCGGGGACTTTGACTTTATTTCATTTTATCAAAATAAATACATAACAAAATTACACATTTTATTCTTAATAATTATAAATATCATAAGAATGAAACCGCAGTCAAAATTCTTGTAAATAAATATTGTATTTGCGCCATTTTATGTAATACACAGTACCTACATCGTAATCGTATGTATATGTATGAAGCTTCATTCATAAGCTGTTTTCATTCACATTCATTTTTTTCGTTTTCCTCGCGTATTATTTTGACGTGTCATTCATATATGACGGTTTATTCGGATTCTCGAAAATCCATCACCAATTTCTGGAAAACAAATACATCCCTAATTCTGGAATTTAGTGATATTGTCCAGGGACGGGTGTAAAAGAGTTTCTATAAGTGTTTTTATAGAAGTTTTGTTTCGTTAGGAATTGAGTGTCGAAGTTTTGGGAATGTCCAAGACAAGTTGGACTTTGGAGACTATTTACATAACGTTGTTTGTTAACTGTTTTTGTTTGACAAGCTATTTTGGTAAGCGTCTCTTGGGTTACGCAGTCACTTGTTACAGACACCATTGCTAATATAAATAAAAATGGATTATTCTATAAACATTTCTGTTGCTTTTATGATGAGGACTTCTTATACCAATTCAGATGTTGCGTAAAGTTTTTAGGTAGACGTTTTACGCAAGAGAATTTGTCCCTACATAAGTCGAATGGAATCCTGATATCCGATTTTATTGTTTTAAATAGTTACTTATCTTTGATTTCTTTGTGGTTTCCAAAGAATACTATTTTCAGATCATTCAAAAATTTAACTATCCATTTTTTGTACATAGATTTGCAGTTAACAGTATCATTATCCCCACAGGCATTTAACAATTAGCCGTTCAGTGTATCCTTAATGCCCTATTTAGCGACAAACATTAAGCTGATTGGCAAACTTAGTCGGATGATACACGCATTACCGCCCTTATCTACCCTTAGTTTTAGTTTTAATTGTAAACAGTATAATAATGATTATAGGGTCCAATATCGCTTAGAAATAGTTGGGTTACGAAGGTTTTGTTTCGAACTATCTCTGTAAACGATATTTGAAGTTTTATATGAGTTTTGTAGTGGTAGGATGTGCTATAAAGAGTCAATGTCACGTGTCTAGTTGTGTGAGTACAGATGTAAACACAAAATGTTCATTTTTGTTAAGGGTCCTAATAAGTTTTAGTTTTAGATTGTAGTGCTATTTAGTATATTTTCGTGTTGAAATAAAATTTATATTTTTGTATGTGATACAACGGCAAAATAGTGGATATTTTCAGATGATAAACACCGAGTAGAGAGTAGAGTGCGTTGACGGCTTTTTGGAGATTAGGATTTTGGAGATATAGACATTAGGGCGGGATGGCAGAGGGAAAGAATTGGGGCTCCGGTTACCACGCTCCCTCGGTGAAACATAACGCTGTGTTTGTTACACGCTGGTTTTCTCTAGGGTTCTTTTTATTCTCTCTTTTTTTCTCCCAGCCCATTTGTGCCGAAGCATGGCTCTCCCACCCTAGATGGAACAGTAGGTAGCTAATTATAAGTCTGATAATGTTTTTTTATCGAATGTAGGCTGCTAAAGGATTGTTTTCGGAACAGCGCTTAGTATTAACGATAAAAGTACCAGGTTGGAAACTATATCCAATGTTTAACTATCTCGATAGCAGATATTTACCTATCGCTTCGAGGAAAACCAAGTGTGAATTCATATTGAAGAAATTCGTAGTATCGACAAGATTTGATTCCGTATAGCTACGAAATAGTGTTTGGTACTGGGAAATTGTAAAATTTCTGGTCAGGGTTGTGCACGAAATAGCTCCTATTGCAAACAGTTGGAACATAAGTAATGTAAAACGTGCCTTATAAGGTGACAATGCTACCAGCCTTGTCCTGTGTTGACATTAAAGCGGATATTTAAATTACATAAGTTTGAATATCTTTGTAGTACCTACGTAAAATAACAAAGTTATATTAAACATTTATACAGCTGCATTATTAGTATTTATTCATCAGTAGTTACAGACTAAAGTACGTAAACAGATAAGTTTATCACCAACTCTTCATTTATTACAAGAAAACTTATAATTAGTAAATGACTTAAGGCATGTTCTAAAATAAAAATAAAAAATAAATATTTTTAACGTATCTCTCTAGTCTCTATCATCATTTTTACATATATGGTATACCTGGCAAAACTGTAGGTTACATATTCAAAATCTGAACTGTTTAAGTATGGGTCATTTGCGAATTTATAAACCATTATAGTTACTCTCACCGATCTTTTATAGCCTTCCTCGATAAATGGACTAACAAACACAAAAAGAATTGTTCAATTCGAACCAGTAGTTTCGGAGATTAGCGCGTTCAAACAAACAAACTTTTCAGCTTTGTAATATAAGTATAGATAAAAATGTTTTAAAATAAATTGTGACGTACTTCAACACCCTAAGGTTGTTGACAACTTAACTAATCCCTTCGGTGACCTCTTTGTTAAGCCCCCAGCCAGGGCATCAAAAAACTACTTAAAAACTAAATAATCGCATCACCAAGGGCTGTCTCCGTTTGGTTAAAGCCTCGGTTGGCTTTTGTTTTTGAGTGGGAATTTATCAAATGACTTCTTTTGCCCAAGGTGAAGCAAGAAGGAGTGTCAGACTCTTATTGACTAAAAACCACCCCTTTTTTTACCTGCTCAAGGCTTTGGCTGAATTAGATTATAATGATAATGATACACAAATAAGAAAAATATAACAATGATAATTATGAATAAATAGGTATACTTCTTTTTTTTCTTCTTTTTAAAAAACGTTACCCCACACTAGGATTTTCTCCTCTGTCGTGGGTGCGGTTACAAACATACAATTTCACAGACACATGACACCCAGACCCGGAACAACAATTTGTGGATCACACAAAGAGTTGTTCCGTGCGGGAATCGAACCCGCGACACGTTGCACGGCAGCCAGTTGCCCAGCCACCGCACCACTCGTGCAGTCATAATGTAATAAAATAACTAAACTTTTTTCCAACAGTTGTCCGCACAGCACGTCCGGAGCGGCTCAGCATTGGTGGCGAATGGAGAGTTAATGGAGTTGGTCGAAACGTCTCCCATTCTTTCGGCTATGGACTCCTCGACGCTGCTGGCATGGTGAGGCTGGCCAAGAGTTGGAGAACTGTACCACCACAGCGAAGATGTGAACTGGCTGCTCCAAGACCACAACGACCAGTCCCGCCTAGGTCTTCTGTTACCCTGCAGGTGAGATTAGACTTTAAGTCGCAAGAGCAAAAGTTGTTAATTGGTTAACTTCTATGTTTATCAAGTTTGTAAGCATCTTCTGTACTGGTAAACAAAGGGTTCCGAATTATTTAGGATTTAAAATGAAAAAGAAATAATGACCCGACTTCGAACGAGTGCGAAGCTGATACAAAATTTCTCTGTTAGTTATAGGCTGTTCTATACTATAGTATGTAACCATCCTCTTCAATGTGTCTATTAATATAAAACACATCAAAATCGGTTGCGTAGTTTTAGAGATTTAATCATACATATTAGGCAGAAAAAGCGACTTTATTTTATACCATTTGTATATGAAAATGATTTTTTAGATTTCAATACTAAAAAAATTCGTTGATATTCACTTTTTTGAATACCAATAGCTATCGTTTGATATGTAAAGACACCAAATAAAATATTTGCTCGCAGTGACCCGTGATATGGGCGTAACAAATGCAGATTTACGAATCAATGTGCGCATAACATACATTGAAAATGTTGTACTGCATAAATATATGGGAATATAATCGATGTTGAACGTTCGGGCGTGATCTCGTGACTAGAATTATATAACACCGTTTCTTCATGGCATAAACGAAATGACGGATTACCTGATGGCCCTGATGGTAAGCAATCGGCGCCGCCCAGAGGACTTACGAATGCGTTGCCGGCGTTTTGGGGATTAGGATTTCCGAGATTTAGGGATCGTGGGACGGGAAGAAGGATTGGACGGATCTCTCGATCGACCTTCCCACCAACTTACTCTCGACGAGAGCCAGGTACTAGAATGACATAAACACACAAATATATCAGACAAATCTACACTGAGTAATACGGGTACGACACCACTGTCATAACACGTTCAAATAAATGACAGAAACCCGGATAAGCCAAACAAACTCTCGTCCAAACACGATAAAGAGTCAAAACTCAAGAAAATTTAATACAAAATGCAAAACTTAGTACATTAACCAATGCTTAATAGCCCGATAAGTTCACAAACTTTGCTAATAATGATTTTTAATTGCTTTTTAAACGGCTAATGCCATTATTTCCACAGCGACTGCCTCGTCTATAGGGTAATGTTTCGCAAGTCACACGAAGTATTGGATTCCCAATTCCCGGTTTGGACAAAGAATTAAGTATTGGAGCTTTATGGAAAATAAGCTTAATGGTGATGATTTCTCCCGCCCATGATGAGGCGAGCGAGAGGGAGTGTCAGATTCTTACTGACTAAAACCCCTCCGTTCCCTCTCGTGCTTTAGGCCGCGGCCAAGTTGCCTCATTGCGCTTACTCTGCAACCCCGGCTGAACATCAGCTCTATTAATAGGCCCCGTCTGTGGTGGTCTATTAGCAGGGTTAGTACATGCCTAAGTAACTGGCTGCTGCGCAATGTGTCGTAGATTACAATTAATTTTATGATCCACAAATGGTGGTTCCAGATCTGGGTATGATGTGCATGTGATACCCTATAGTTTTAAATGAATTCATGAGCCACGAAAATGGATGTAAATCGAATGGGCCAGCTTGAATGGAGTGATATCACGACCATACAGAAGACCAGCTAAAAGCAACGCTTAAATTTTGTTTTGCTGTGTACGCCAAATTTTCTCTCTTATCTATCCCTATTCATCAAATCCCTAATCTCAAAGGGGTCTGTGCTTATATGTGGCGGGCTATATATGGCAGTGAGTATTGCAATAAAACAATATTGACCGTCTCTTTACAATACTGATGTGCTGTTGGCACAGGCCGATACCGCAGATGTTCATGGGCAATGCTGATTGCTTACCATCAGGTGAACCGCGTGCTCTATATAATAAATATTATATATAGAGCACGAATACAAAATATTATATTATAACACAGAAGTTTGCTGTGCACCAAATAAACACAGAGCGATACGAATTGAATACGTAAATAGAGTATCTTAAACTAAGAGACGTCGTAACAACTTTCACATCTGTAACATTAGTGGGTGCATGTCCAGAGAATACTTCTGGACATCTGAACAGGGTAGCATTAACAATTGGAGTCGGTATAAAGGATATTATGCAGTCCGAAGCCTTTTAGTATCACCATCGTGGTACCGAGTTTATGCTAATGGCGTCGGAAAAGCGTTCACACACATTACCATATATAACCATCTGCATGTGTGCAGTAGTACATTCATTACACCCAATGCCACAGTACTATTGAATTCAGTAAATCAAATAATCCACAGCTACATTATTTGTTTCACTTAATACATGTAAAGGTACTTTTTGATTTGTGTACCAGTCGGGATGTCAGTGAAACTCGTTGAAATTAAATGCCTCGAAGTCATCAAATGTTTTGAGTTTAATTTTATGAGTGTTAGGTTAACAATTGAGATTGTTGATCTAGTTAAAAATAAATTACCGAAGTAATTCCACAGCCTAATTTAAAGTAAGTATTTTTCATTACAGATTTTAGAGAAATAAGTACCTATCAAAGTTGCAAAAATATCTCAATGTCAGAGTCAAATTCATTTATTCCAACTAAACCGTCATCAAAAATGTAGTATCCCAGGAAAATATATTTCTAAAACGTATATTGAGGTAAATTCTAGTATCCAACACTTAACGTCATTGTAAATTGTACCTTACATAAACACGGAGAAATGTGTTTTCACCTTATTGCATTTTAGTGCATCTCACGAATGAAGCGGTGTCTGCTACTCGGAATAGAGTTTTGCATTTGTATAAGAAAATAAAAACAAAACAAAATAGTAGGATTTCTTAAGATTTATACTTTACTAAGATGTTTTTCTTGAAGCGTAGTTTTTCAAACGTACTGAAAATCGGATGGTTTTAACTCTTCTATTTTTATATTCTTTATATAAAGCTTCATAGCCATGATCTTATCTTTTTATTCTGTCCAGACTTCACTTTATCTAATGCCTGCTAAAAGCAACATATTAAACAAAGTGAATTCATTATCTTCTAAGCTTTATTAAGCAGATGCACCTTGCTTAGTTTCAAGAAAAATAAACAAGTTCAAAATACATTTGTTGCAAACACCACCTAACCCCATAGGTATAACTGGTTTTCGACCTTACCATTTTACAATACAATTGCAAATCTACTATTACACCAATGTTTTAGAAGCGAATATTTGTCGTTGTTCAGCATCCATTGACAACTTTCTTCTTTCGCAGTTGGACGTGAGCGCTTGTCCTGGAGTAAACTACTTGGAACACGTGCAGGCACGCGTATCACTCTCTGCTGCGAGACGTGGTGATCTTCGAATTGTACTCACTTCTCCAGCTGGAACTAAGGTCACTCTGCTTGCACCAAGGTATGTGTCTTATTAGATATATACAGGTATTAATTAGTTTTTAGATTTAAAGAACATAATTTCCTACTTGCTGTCGACATAACCCAAAGTATTAGCAAACTGAATTAGTAGGTAGGTCACATGTGTGGAAGAACTGATGACCATTGGCTAAGTGTTCTGGAGTGGAGACCACGTGTAGGCAAACGAAGTGTAGGGCATCCTCCAGATAGGTGATAGGACTAACGATATCCTTAGAGTAGCTGGCAGTGGTTGGATGAGCAGAGCTGAATATCGAGCTCAGTGACGTGCAATTAGATAGAACTATATCCAGGAGTGGAATAAAACAGGCTGATAATTATAATGATGATGATTTGCAACTTGAAAATGTTAGGTCATTAATTTTTTTGGTCGCTTGTAAAATTTCGAAACAAGTTTGTAAAAAAAAATTCTATAATAAGAAGCACTTCATAGGTACATCTACAAAAAACAAACAACAAATATTTTGTTCTCCCATTTATAAGTTTCTTTTAACACAAATAAATAACAGTTCGTATTTCTTAAACCACTAGAATATTTGGTGTGTCCGGTACAGTACGGTACATAAATGTCGTTGCTATGTAGATGGAGCTCGGCAGTAATTGAGGTATAATGGCTCTGGTATACAATGGCCCTCACATTGGCAGCTTTACAATGTCCATTGAGCGAACAAGTTATATTATGTAGGAGCGTACATATATAACTGGTCACAAAGACCTTACAATTGGGGATAAGGATAGGAAAAAGGAGGTTAATATGGCAGAAAATATATTTATCATTATAAATAATTATACCAAAACTCCAAGACGGACACATACATCTTTAGGATGTAAAAATCTATTTCAAATTTGAGTACTTTAGTCAACTACCCAAATAATAGGATCGATATATAAAAAACAATTATCGTATTCCAAAAAAACATTGCTGCCATGGCTGCCAGCTACAAAATTCTACAAAATTTAACTGAAAATTCTTATCGTAGGTAGCCATATTTGAAAATAATAAATAATAATTGTTATTTTCAAAGTTAACCTACTGTTTAGTAACGCACTGTACCCTCTCAAAGCTAATGCACGACACTATGATGTGCTGTGACATGGAACAACGTGACCGCAAATACAAAATGCGCCATCTATTCAGTTTAGAATAGACGTGATAATGTATCGCTAAATACCATCGTAACTGTATCCACGTTCCCGTTCGCCGTATGAATAACGCAAAAATATTACAATGAACCACTTCGTTTGTTTTGAAATATTATCTAATTTGAAATACGAACACAGTTGTATACGAACAACAGATAGAATTTTAGCAATTTGTCAAATAATCCCGAACTGAATACGTTCTGACAATACGATTAATCGTGCACGGTGTGTTGTTACCCAGTTTATTAAAGCCGACAAGACGCTAACTAGACGCTCACAACGGGTGTAATTAGACAGTTAATTTTCCGACAGACCGCACGACTCGTCGCGCACTGGGTTCAGCTCGTGGCCTTTCATGTCCGTGCACATGTGGGGCGAGTCACCGCTGGGGCCCTGGCGGCTAGAAGTCACCAACGAGGGACGATTTATGGGTAAGCTAAACAAAATTACATACATTCTGCAACAGGTGAACATTTTGACAAGGGAATGCTAAGAATGAAATATGTACACCCTACATACATACTTGCATACTTACTTCTTCAAATCATGAATAACGAAAAGTTTGCGTGTGATCCGTAAAGTTTTATGACCACATTTATAACGAATGGCTTGTCACAAAAGTCGGCGGCTTGGAAATTTTAAAGGCCCAGAAAGGTTTAAGAGTCTTACGAACATTGTTCAGTCAACTCAGCTACTTATCATTCTATTAAGTGAAATATTTCCAGTAGTTTTGGTAGCTGAATAAAAAAATGTGAATCAATATCTGTTTGTTCAATTCCACGTCATAGGGCGAGCGACGTTGCAAGATTGGTCTTTAACTTTATATGGAACTAGTACGCCAGCAGCTAAAAACGATCCCATACCGTTCCGGAATCCAATTATACGCAACAAGGGCAACGCAACGCGACCTATCGTGGTGCAAGCGGGCCGCAAAAACAATAGAGGGAAACCCGTGTCGATCGTCCCCACTTATACCGTGGGGCTAGTGAAGAGGAAAAAGAATAAGAATTCTAAGAATCCGAACAGAAATTCGCAAAAGTCGAAACAGAGTCGGCCAGCCACTCGGTCGCCTATAGAGAGTACGACGGCACGGGTGACGACGTCGACGGCGGCCGACCTGAGTCTGAACCTGCGCGCGGATCTGACGGACCCGCTGGCGGACGCGCGCGGCCGCAAGATGTCGAGCCTGTTCGAGCAGTACCCGAAGATACAGCGCATATACCCGGCGCCGCTGCAAGCACACGGTACTGCCTGCATGTCGTGTCCGTTCGTTTAGCCCCGGCCGTTTTATTTCGCCGCCTAGTTTGAGCCTGCACGTCAATTACCTTTGTTCCAGACTCCGCCGCTCTTTGCATGTCGTGTGTTTGCATTGTTTACATTTTATTTTGTAGCAGAACTTTATTTAATGTAACAGTTTCAATTGAGTTTTGTTTTCAATTAAGTAATTACTGTATCGTACATGATGTAGACAGTGACGGATAATTGCGTTTGTGTGAAATTTTTAGTTTGTTTCTGTTGTTTTTTTTTTTCATTTGTAGTCGTTACTGTCGATCAAGCAGCGATATTCTTTTCTTTGCAAGTTTTTTGTATTCACGCTTTATTTGTTTCTGCGTACAGTAATTTGATATGCTTTAGTTGTAGAAAGTACGACCTCAAAATGCTTAAAGACAAGTAACTAAAGTGTAATATTTCTTCAGCTGGTCCTCTGACTCAATGGGAGTTAATATTCTACGGTACGGAGACGCCTCCTCAAGAGGAAGACGCGTCTCCTGAGACAAACTTGTTGAGTGGAGGAGCTGCGCCGGTGCCGGTTGCCAGTTCGGGCGGCGGGATGATTCCTGCTGAATCGCCGGGGCCGGTGACGACATGGAACGGTGCGAACGAGCCCCCCGAGTCAGTCGAGGAAGTGAGACAGAATGCACTCGACGACGACCTCTCCCTCGTCTGGCATTCGCATACGGTGAGTTTGAACTATGTTTGTTGTTTACTCTGTGCAAACAAATCCTTGATTCATATTTTGTGAGCTCCGTTTGGATTGAAACAATGAGCGTTGCAGCTACTAGTGTTTTGTTATTGGAAGCTTAATAATTGAGCGTTAGAATTTAATAATTGTTATAATATGAAAAAGATTACTCCGTGTCAGAAAGTGTTAGTAATTAGTTATTTTGACTTGTTCTCTCAGTCTAAAAGAAAACAATTTTTTTTCAATATATTACACTATCACTTATTGACATTTTTTATTTAATGATTAATTACATAAGTATAAAATTTTCCGCAAGAATTCTATGACATCATACATTAGCACTCTCATGAAATTTATAGAAAAGTAAGTTTTTGACATTTCGGTTTTATCATCGTTTTATCTTCTAAAATTCCATAAAAGTCTTTGCACTACCCAGAAACCCAGTATGTGCCTATTCTTTGATACTTACTATTCACAAAATACCTGATTTAATATTTATACGTAAAGATTTGCTGAGACAAAGAAAGGCCTTTATAATGGACCTTTGTTACAATAGATAAATGGCTTCAATAACAAAATTTAAAATATTATTATATGTATTATATCAAAACACTTGGTCTTGTTTAAATGCCTGGACAAAGGTGGACCAGAAACAATACTATTCCACCACAAACTGTTTAAATAGTATTAAGACAAAGTGATTTATGAATAATTGAGTTAATGACACATGTAACTAGGTATGTAAGTAAAGACTACCTACTCGTAAAACAAGTATCATGTTGGCTTTTGGTGTTTGTTGAGGCCTCGGGGTCCAAATTTGGCTAGTACTAGTGTGACTTATTCCGTGTAATATATGACATGCTTTCGGAGTTTATTTAGATACCGACAAATGGTGAAGGAAATCATTGTGAGTGTTTTTGATCGCGAGGAAACCTGGAAATTTGTAATTATATGTTTGAAATCGTAAATCCACTTTATTTATTTATTTATTTGAGACTTAATGATAATAAGCATTCTCTACCAGTCTACCTTCTAGTCCAATATTATTTTCATTAATATTCAAAACTTCTTCGTGTGAGAAGAAGCCTTTGCTCAGCAGTGGACACTTATAAACTATTATGGCTACAACGACAAAAAACCTATATGTTTAATAATCTACACTATAATCTAAGTGAGTGCCAAATTTTATTCGGAACCGATCAGTATATTGTTTTAACATTCATATTTTTCGTAAGATAAATAAAGCGGGTAAGGCTGTCTCTATATAAACAATCAGTTTTGCGGTATAGCCCAAAAACTCGTATAGATTCACTGGTACAAAATGTTCGAAAAAAATAAAAGATAGCGTTTGGTGCGAAAATTATGTGGATGGAGCATAAATCGTGAGGCAATTGAGTGCCCGGGCAAACAAGTGCCTTTAAATGTTGGCAACATTTTTGGCCAATTAAGTTGTTCATTTCTAAAATGTAGTATATCCTCTTCCTGGTTTCCTGGTTTCCTGGTTTCGGTTTAATATGGCCATAAAATCTAACGATTGTCGTGTCATAAACATTCTTATATTGCTTTGATATGACCTACTTACTAAGTAAGATATTTTTTGTGGGATATGGCGCCAAACGAGCAAATAGATCACCTGATGATAAGGAATCGGCGCCATTTATAAGTACCAGAGAATTTACAAGTGCCCTTCGGGCTTGGGGAAGTTAAGCATGAGGATTGTGAAGGGATGGAAACGGATGGGGGAACCTTCGGAATATCAAGTCACATGGCGAAACATAATGTTGTTTCACGACCTATTTCTGTAACGTCGTGGTATCACACCGATCGAGCCATGTTGAAGCATGGCTTTCCTATATTTAACAAGGCTCTCCCACGCATAACATGGTCCTTAGATGATGATTCTAGATTCTACCATACTCTCTCTGCATCACCCTAAGGTTGACTGGTGAGAATGCCTACGGCATTAGGTCCGCCTATGTAATGTTTTGTGGCATAAAGTTTAAATAAATACATAAAATACTTCCTTTGTGATAAATGACCGTTGGCTTATAAGTATTTGAACCCAGTTTTAACGTGATAGAACTATTATTATATACACAGATTCCATACAAATTTAAGTTTCTCAATATTCTTCTATCTTCGAAGATTCTTCACTAGAATTTGAAATAACGATAGCAACTAAACGTGCACGTACATACCTAGAAATGTTCATTGCTCGTTCGAGTTGTATTTGTAATACTGATCTCATTTTTTGTACTAAAAAAAAATAGTTGCAAATCTCCTAAAAATATCTGGTTCCCAACAATTGATGAACCGTATTCAGTTTGACTTGTTGTCAACACATCTATGCGATTCACTATGCAGTGTAGCAACCAGCAACGCAGGGGAAAAATCAGATTTGCAAAATCGAATTTCCCAGTTTTCTACGGTTCCCTGCCTAGGTCTACATACGCTTCGATCTAGATTTACCGTGGTATATTATTTAAACTGCCTAGTTGGTAGAATTTTTGTAAACTCGGCAGTCAAAAATCGAAAGAGGATTAATCAGTTAAAACAAAATTGGATTGCTCCTCATAGCTTCTACTGCGAAGCGAAAATTCTATGTTCGGGTGTTTGTCACTTAACTTTTGACACATGAAATCAGGTTATGTCATGCATAATATGCCTAAGCTCCTTTGCTTTCTCCTTCGCAAAACGTAAGATGTGATGAACCTTTCATCGCCATCATCATCATCTGTCTATAAGTGCCTCTTCTCACACGGAGAAACTTGCTCAAGACAAATTGGCGATTTTAATCTTATTTCGAGAAACCGTATGCCAGTGGTATCTCAATAATCATAGAAAGTGACTACATATAACTCGGCAAAAGTCACATTGTTACTTCTACTCATGCATGAAAAGTGAGCCCGAACCTCTGGGACTTCACAACGTTAACATGATGACCAGTAGTATAGATGCAGAATATGGACAGCTAGTTGTCTAAACCAATCCGACATACGTACGGTGCGGTAGCATTACCTCAACTAATTGACTAAATGCATCCTGCAGGCGATAGATTTGCTAACGCACCTGCGTTATCGACCTAATTTAACGCTCGTACTACCAGCCAATCAGAGCGCAACCATACATTTTTAAAATCGCTGATTGGACAACGTCCTTGTTGAAAAAACTTTAAGCCGCGTCCAACGTAGGTTTTGATTGCTGACATATTTTTTTGCGTGAATTGTAGGTTACCGGTTTTTGTTTTAAATTTTCGAACTACCATTTTTCTGGTTCGTTATGGTTGGCAGTGACTTGATGGACTGCAACTGAAGTTGTTCAATTTGGAACCTGTCTTTTTGACATAGGGTTGAAAATGGTATGTCAGGATAGCTTGAGGTGGATGTACAATTGATGTCCTTAACGGTTGAGGACGTATTCCATCATGCAAGAATAGTTGCTCGTCTAGTTTGTGCTATTAGTGTATTGCTTGGATAATGCTGCTCGAAATGTTTTGAATCCTAGAATTTGTTGATGAACATATGATAGCAAAATGTTTCAAATACCTGCTAGTTCTGGGTTTAGGGTGGAAAATTTGAATCGCAAATTACAGTAAACCCATTGAAACGTATTCACAGAATTCACTCTATTCAATGCTAATTTCTGAACACTTTGTAGAGCGTATGATAGTACAATGCTTATTTACCCCTCTGCAGTGTAGAATTTTAGAAATGTAGGTATATTTGCAGTTTTTAAACATAAAGGGTTGAAAGTTGGAAATAGAAAAACGGAAAAGAAAATGAAAGTTATAATATATATTTGATGTGATAAATTAAAAAATCACTAACGCACAATTTTTAATACATTCGACGTTTAAACTTGAAACAATTCATAAGTTCCATAATTCTCTACAATATTCTCGAAATACTTATGTTCAATTCCTGAAAGATTTAGTGTACATTAGGGAAAATATAGCGTAGGCCTTATAAGATAAATGCCATTTTGCTGTAATAAAATGACTTGTATGTACTATGAATTATTTGCAACGAAGATTAATGGGTCTAGGTCGGGCAAACTATTTCTGTCTAGGCTTATCTTATCACGCGATATTGGAATTTGAGCTTCATAAATAAGTTGTTTTTTATGGGTCTTACAGTAATAATAGAAATTGCCTAAAACTTATAGACGGTGTGCCATTTGGAAATGAATGTATGATTTGCCTTACGAGTCTGCACAGACTAGAGATTTTTATCAACTTTGGATATACATTTTGATTCGAGACTGTGTAGATTATAGTTCATATGATATCATACATAACCCAAAAGAGTAAATAATGCAAGATAACACATAACACGAAACACATAAAATACAACATAATTCCATGTATATAAAAATAGTAGTAAAAGTTCGATTATAAAACCAAACAGGATTAATAAAACAACCAACAATGTGCCTGTGAAATCGTAGAAATAGCTACAAGTGCGATAGGATAACAAATTAAAATATTTAAAGGATAAAATCAACTCTTACTTGCTATAACTTACACTATTCAATATGAGATATGACGGTAAAACGATTGATGAATATTTTTTGCCTTGCTCAGAGACAAAATGAAACCTAACCTAACCTAACCTAACCTAGTAATTATTAAGCAATAACAGTGTTTGACGATGTAGTTTCCAAGTAAAGACAATTTGGATCAAGGATTTGTTTGTATCTATCTTAGACCTTATTTCATACGGTTAAGTGAATAAATTAAATGGGCATAAAACGCACATGGTTAATAGTTATTGGTATCCAGTAGACAAAAATCAGACACAGTCTTGATGATCCACAACAACAACTTGTAATTAAAACTAAACTTAAATAAATAATGTATATGCTACATCGAGCAACCGGGGAGCAACTTAATTAGTTGTCGACATTAGACACACTTAGTTGCTTGTCTACTTGGCTTTCATTTTGGAATTTATATGAAATAATACTTTGTCTAATCTACAGTAATTGGTCGGCTAGACCTGACTGGGGCCTTTATTTAGTGGCCATCACAGGTATCAGACCGGTTGTGGGTTTGGCCTTGTTGAGCAGGAGCAGGAGTCTGATACTGTCTCTTGGAGTTGGAAAAATCATAATGTTAGTTTTCCCCCTCAAAAAAAGGGATTTGTCCGGGTAATCATCGGACAGCCGTAACGTGCTGGAGCACGAGCGATTATATGCAAAGAAACATATTTAGTTTAAGTTTGATTTGTCGTATTAGGTATAACATATAAAATTGTTTATGTATACAACTCTGAATAACTCCTTGATCACAATTTTCCGTTCGCAATAGATATTTGGGCTATGCTGAAGGCAAATAAAGGATTCGGTAAAGTTAAATGTTATCGAAAAATGTCTATAACATAGCTACCTACATACATTCTTAATCCAATATACATAAAGTTAAGTTTCACTTGTATTTTGTTATTAAAATCTGAACGGTAAACATTGAAGTTTTAGTAGCTATTATTAGTTAAGTAATACCTAACAAGTAAAAATTTCATATTAATTAAAAATAACTTAGCTAAAATTAAATAGTTTAACTTACGCAATTTATTTAGTTTGTAAATATTAGATATGTGTAACAAGTACGAGTCTTAATGAAATTTCTTTTTTAATAACTATGTTTACTTATTAGAAACTTTGCTAGATTATATTAAAATGAGGGCTGTTGTACCTAAATTTACCGAAGATAATTTATTAAGTGACCTATCTCTTATACTTCGTAGTTACCATAGCCCTCATTATTTATAATCTTTAACTTAACGTGTCTTAAATTTAAAGCTACAAGTAACTAATATATATTTGTTTCTTTTTACTCTAGATAAGCGAAGACAGCCCCCCTGAGACAGTGGACGCCGGCAACGCGGGACAGTACACGGGCAACGCGTCGGGTTGCGCCACACACGCGCCACAGTCGCTCCACTGCCTAGGTTTGTGCCTATTCATCATCATGTTAATGTCAGCGGCCGACGCGTTGCGTATACAAACAAATACCTTAACTTCTCAACGCAGACAGCCCCATAGACTAAGTAAGCGCGATTGTGAACTAACTGCTAGCATAAGGTTAGAGTTAAGCTGCGGAGGAACTCGGCCGCCACGCGCGCCCTGCTTGCGACACCTAACATCAACCTCTGCGACCGCGCTGGGTCCCTAGTACTCGCCGCGCCTAAAGCATTGTGATTTTAGTTAAATTTACCGGGTTTATATATAAGTACAAGCTGTTATTATTGATATGTTTGTTTTTAAGTTACAATAAAATTATGCAGTCCAATCACAATGTGGAGTCACGCCCGTCGCACTGATTTTTTCTGGCTTTAATTTTATACTCGTCTCGACATAAATGGCAATAGTACAAATGAACAAAACTAGAACAAATGGCTTACATTACGGTTATTCCAGGCTAATGCAATAGATAATTGAACGAAGTTTTATGGGGACATGTTTCAAAAGGAGGTCGTATCACAGTATTTGCAATGCAGCCTAAAGGGTAATAAAATAAATCAAAGGCAGCTATAGATAGCCTACATCTAGACAGCTTTGACAAGATTGGACGTCGAATTCAAAGGAAGTTCCGTAATACTCTTGGTCTATTAGTTTACTCCAAATCCTTGTAGGTTTCACAGATTACTTGTACAATAATTTGTATTCGGTTGGCGTTTACTAATTAATATAGATTGAACCGGTTTAATTTATTACCGCATCTGATTTTGCCGGCTTGAATTTAGATGATACACAAACTGTGTTACAATTTCCGTACTTCCCTCGTATTATATTTTCGTTTTAACTATTATTTAGTAGGCTAAAGGCCAAGAACAATGTTTATGTAAGAAATATGAGGACAGAACGGAGCTCTTTCTCAATATGTTTAGTTTCACTTTTTAATGGCAAATAGTAAAGTAATTTTAGGTTATCTCTATCCTCAATCCCCTAATGACCCACAAGAGGTCGGCAAGGCACTTTTGACTCCTCTGGTATTACGAGTCCATGGGCGCTGATTGCTTACAGGCAATCCGCTTGCTGACTTATGTTATAACAAAATAGAAGTATAAAAATGCTACGTTTAATGCGATCATATGAAGTATCGCTTACATGTGTTTTGGGTTTGTTTACATTGATCTTGATCTAAGTAAACATCTCGTATTGTATGGGAATCGATTTAATGTCAGCTAGTGTAGGTATCCATTTTTTTATTCCAATTTTATTGGAAGTTACTGCTGTTACTCTTCTACGGGACATTTAAGCCACTATGTATTTTATTTAACAAAGAAATAAAGTTGATTTTAAAGCCAGATAGAATCGGTGCGCTTAAGGGCATACAAATTTATAATAGAAATTGTTTACCAATAGTTAGATAATTATGCCGCGTTTCGTACCTAGATTTCGTACTTAAGGTTTACGTACGTACTGTTCATTAAGGGTATATATTGTACTAGTTAAGTAGCTTATGCTGTTATGTGAAGTTCAAAAGGTAAAAAACCCTACCTAATATAAAATAAAAAAAACAGAAATTGCCTCTTAAGCCTTTTCTTTTTCAATAACATAAGCAAACAATAGCTGAATTGGAATGCGTTTGAATTTGAATTTTTGGTTCTAAATTCAAAAAAATCATATCATAATCTTTGAATTTTACGTGTGAACTTCACATACCAGCATTTAATAAAAAAAATAACTTGTCTTTTAACGACAAACATAATATAATATTTCGCAAACGGACAGTCGACACGAAATATCTACTTGTAACAAAAAAATTCACTAGGAATTATTATTATTAAGGAAAAAAATTTTCATTTGTACAAACCATCAAATTAATTGGCAAAACTAAAAAAAAATATTTTGAAGAACTAGTGAACAAGTGCAATTACGTAAAATAATGTTTAATTACGATATTATCAAGGTGACAACGTCCATTTTTTCACGAGTAAATTGCATTGTGGGATGTATGAGTGGATCATGTATAAAGTTCTCTAATTGTTCAATATTGTATGTATGAAATAACTTAAGGAGCCAAAATTACGTACTTATTTTTACAACGTGACCAATTTATTTGACTCGTTTTAATAATGAATTTTTAAGGTTTTTTTTCTATTTTTTATTGTGGCTATTATCATGTAGGCTTCTCCTTAAATCATGCTAGATTCCTATACAACTTATATTTTCAATAAAAGCGTGAGTAACGTTAAAAATGATACCAAATGTTAGCGCATTTACTATACTCTTCAAGTGTTTAACATAAATTATTTATTAATGAATCTAAATATTTAGAAATATTATAATAATGAATTAATAAAAATAATAGAATAAAAATTTGTTTTAGTAAGTATAAATCGTATGATTTATTAACAGCATCGTTCTGGCGATATTTTTCATTGATTTGCAATTGTTTTTTTGTTATTTTTAATAAATAAAAATTGCAGCTTTTAGCAGCTATATTTTGCATGTGTTGCCATGGAAAAATCGCCTTTACGTGTGTTTGAACAGGATACATATCTGTTATAATAAGTTTCACGGTTATATTGTCCTTATTCTGAGCAGGGTGTTTATCGTAGCATTTTTTTTTGTCACGCTGCCAATCAAGTTGTACAAACGTCAGAACAATTCCACGTTTCCATAATTATTAGATTTTTACGCCTGTTTTGTCATCTTCTTATAAATTCCTGTTGAACTTATGTGCCAGACACATTTAAAACAAATTACGCTCTATATTTAAATATATCCGGTTTATAAGGGCAATCCAGAATTCGTGAAACTTTAACTTAATTTTCTATATGTCAGTAAAAATGGGGAGATGTTTTGTTCTATTTTTTTCTACTTACACGTATATTTTTATAGTACCTACGCATTATTAAAATTTTTACAAAGAGTAGGCTTATAACTACAGGCATGTAAATATTGGTAAATGTGTCTACAGTAATATTATATTACGTTTTTTCTATTAGTGATGTTAACAAACACATAATGTCATATGTCACATGTCACAGTAGAGCTTACTTTTCTGGATAAACACGACACTTATTGACCTAAAAAATAACGTCTTTTAGTCTAGCACGCTGCTTGGTATTCTCAAAATGAAATTTTAAATTAAGAACGTTGGATTTTGCATAACGTTCTAAATCAATCTGTTTTAGTTGTCCCAGTCTTATGTTTATAATTAAATACGTTTTTCTATTTTTTTTTTCTATTTTCAAAAGTTATGAAATGAATGTTAAAGATCCTCCTTCTTTTTCAAAGTCGAGTAAAAATGCTACGATAAACACAATGCAACTAATGTAGTTTTCATGCATATGGACGTAAATTATAGGTTAAACATAATTGCATATTGTGGTTGTGATCATAGCGAAGATTGCCAATCCATATAGCATAGAACAATACATATAATAATAATAATAATTGTAAATAATAAGTAGGTATGTATCGATAAAAAAATGGATTAAAAAATTTGGAGACTTGTACAAATTTGCTCACAAAAAATAAATAAAAACTGTAAATTGAAAACGACTGATCGTTCATGGTTTCTCATCGACTGGTAGTAAAATTATCGTAATTATAATGTAATAGATAAGTATATAAAATACTTCTTCACTATCACATCTTAACACTTCATTTTCTACCAAAATGGCAGTTAAAGTAATTTGTGACTGTCCTTCGACGGCGCACGAAACATTGCGAAGCCACATTTTTTATAATAGCTGTGTATGTAATAAGTAGCAAGCGGAATGAACTGTATCTATTAATGTAAATGTTGAAGCATAATTTGTATATATTGAATCTAATGTGAACGGGAAATAATAAAAACAATCTTTTATTACAAAATATAATCAGTTTTTAATTTTAATTAAGTATTTTGTTATAGTATCTTGTCTCTGATAGAATTAAGCAGTTAGTCGCATTCACGAGAAAACAAACTGTGTTTCATTAGTTTTATTTTATTTTTATTTTTTTGTTTATTTTATTACATTTTGTTTAGTGCATGTTTGCTTCGCTTAGACTAAGCTTGCTTCGATCACCGCGGGCCACGCTTTATTTTAGTGTCAATTTAAATCTGCACTAGCACCTTTTTTGTCTTTTAATTTCTTCTCATCTTTCACTCATTACGTCACTCGAAACTAAACTTTATTTTCTATCTGATTTCATTTAATTTTGTGCACGTCTTTGCATGTTTCTTCAACTGATTAACATTGGTTTGTTTTCGTAAAATGTTTCGACAATAATGTATGTACTTACTTACTACGAACAAAATTATTTGAGATCAGTGACAAGATTCTATGTACCTTTCCTAAGTTTCCTAAACTTGCTATCCTATCTGTGAACTGACATCGATACTCGCTCGGACGTGCATCAGCATCATTTGGCAAGAGAACGCAAGCTGCATGGACGCTGGAAAGGTGCTGGGTGGTGAAGGACTGTCGCTCTATTATTTCGTGTAATTAAATATCTTTGTTCTCTTTCTTCCACTAGAATGCGCGAAGGGCTTGCATTTGTACTCCGGTCGATGCTTCAAACGTTGTCCCGATGGTACGTATGCCAGTGAGATTACAATGGAGAGGAGCTCAAGAAGACGTAATCTAACTTATTTTTCCGAGGGGACGGTAATGAAAAGGCAGGACGGTGGCGCCCCGCAGCAGACCGCTTTAGAAGCTTTAGATATGGAGCCAGCATCTAACGAGAGCGCCGCTAAGCCCCCTCTCACGTGCCTTCCGTGTCATTACACATGCGCCACATGCGTGGGCCCTCAAAACAATCAATGTTTGTCATGTTTAGACGACGCTCAGCTCTTCAATTTAACTGACACCGAACCAAAATTCTACTGTTACCCAAACACGGTATTGTCGAAAATAAAGGACGCTGATTGGCATTACAGACTCAACGTTGCTCTTGTTGTTGTCTTATTTGTAGTCAGTTCTGCCTGTTTGTATTTCCTGCTGTCGTGTGTCACGAAGAGGTATTGTTGCGGTGGCTATTACAAACCAAATATAGTGTATAACAAATTGGCTGTTGATGATAAACTACAGAGCGCGGTGGAGGTTGAAGAAGAGATACATAAGGCTTTAAAGGATTACAGTGAGAGCGAATCAGACGATGACTTGAACTTATAGCGATTGCTAACATTCCAATCGAAGTATTACGAACTCATAGACCAGGTAACCGATAGTGATTAGGAGATTAGGTACAGACCAGATGCAGGGCTCGTGTTGTGATATATATCATTCAGTCGTCACAATGTTTAATATAAGATTGTAAACGAGTATTAGTATTAGTCCAATGAGATTTTAATTCGTACAAACGTTTTGAGTTTATTTTGAAATTATTCCAAAGAGCTGTAACGAACTCTTGAACTTTATAATTTTTTTGTCTATTTTTCTATTAATTTCGGGAATTTTCCTTTCGTAGATTTTACTTTATTAAATCGGTAATTGGTTTTTATGTCTTACTTTTGTATTTTTCTTTTCTTTATTCTTAATTTAGGTTATGAATTATAATAAAATAGAGTATTAAAGAACATTCCATTTGAAAATGAGACATTCGAGGTCCTTGAAATTATACTTAATCCCCATAGCTTTTGGCCACTGGCTGGGGGTTCCATTATTATTTCTAAAAGGGGCTTACTCACCCTCTTTGAACATGCTATTTTTCTATTTGCTCAAAATTCTTGTTTCGGTTGTTTTTTATAATGCTTTTTTTTACTTAGTAAGGTTTGAGATTCACTCAGAGAGACTCAAAAGTAATTATAGTTTCGATAGTTTAATTTAATCGTAATAAGAGTCGCATAATGTTAGATTATTAGTTTTACTTGCTCAAGATGCCATTCTTGTTTGTATGTTTGTGCCAATCCCTTAGTATTTGGTGCAGTGTAAATAATTTGTATATGTAAATAAATGAGTTCCTATTTTCATATGCTGTTTTATTAAAATGCTTGGAGTTGTTTTTTTAACTTTATGGTTGAGTTCTTTAATGAGTTAAAGCGCTGTTGATTTGTGTAAGTATGATAAAAAAAACTACGTTTAAAAAAACCGACTTCAAAAACAAAAAAGTGTCAAATAAGTTATTAAAATTGATATTTTAATAGCACTCTTACGTACGCGAAGCTAATACTTTTAATATTAATAATAAAACACTATCAATTCTATGTGCTACCTGTTCATAGGTTTGAAGTCGGTGCCAAGCCTAATACATAATATAATAAGCTTAAAAAGATATTTGGATGAATTATGACTTCTGAAAGTTTCCTCGTACTTGGTTGTTAAAAGTAGTAGTAGGTAGCTGCGTTGTTAGTTGTGGAAATTTCGTCTATTAGCAGTTAAACAGTCTTAATTCTCATTTAGTTTTATTCTGTTTAGGGCTTGGCACCGACTTCAAACCTATGAACAGGTAGCACATAGAATTGATAGTGTTTTATTATTAATATTAAAAGTATTAGCTTCGCGTACGTAAGAGTGCTATTAAAATATCAATTTTAATAACTTATTTGACACTTTTTTGTTTTTGAAGTCGGTTTTTTTAAACGTAGTTTTTTTTATTTTTTTCTTTTTAGTGTCTGTTGCAAGTTCTTCTGTAAACTACAGTAATATTTTAAATATAAATTAACATATTGAATAGTATATATTTTTAAGTAGCTATGTGTAGGCCAACGAAAGGAGCCGCTCGATTAAAAAATATAGATCCTAAGAAATGGGAAAGTTCTCATCATCATCATCATCAGCCATTTTAATGTTCCCACTACTGGGACACAGGCTATCTCTCTAGGAGAGGGAAAGTTCTTAACAATATAATTTATAAATTTCAAACACGAGGTAGCTACTGTAAACCGTTGAGGAGTTCCCTAGACTGTAGTTCGTCTTCATCATCAGATCCCTTATGACAGTCACAATCCATCAAGGTGTTCTCATCAAAACGAATAAATTAAGCTTAAACACAAGGACAGCTTCCTTGTGTTTGAGCTTAATTTATTCGTTTGTATGAATCGTTGAGGAGTTCTCTCGACTTTCTCTCGTTTCCATCCGGAATTCTCTCGACGGTCAATTGTCTCCATCATCAGGTAAACTGCAGACCTTCAGTTGTTATGATACATACCTACAGGTACAAAGTTTTCATCAATATAAATGAATTAAGTTCAAACACGAAGTAGTTACTGTAAACCGTTCAGGAGTTCCCTGAGCTGTCCTTCGTTCTCATCATCAGACCCTTAATGACAGTTACGACCAAGCCTGCTGCAAAGTACTCGCCAATACAAATCATTCAAGCCCAAACACAAGGCAATTACTCCAAATAGTCAAGGAGATCCCTCGACTGTCTTCCAGCTCCAGCATCTGGTCGACTTCGACCTTCGTCAAGTTGTAGTGTTGTTAAAGGCCTACTTAAACATCATACAAAAAACCTACTCGCCCCTACAATTTTCGAAAGTTCCCCTCGGTTTCTCCAGGATTCCATCATCAGATCCTGACCTCATGACAATGGGACCAAATGGCAAGTATACCCTATCGAATAAAAAAAGAATTTTGCAAATCGGTCCAGGCGTCTTCGAGTAATCTGTGTACATACATAAAAAAAAAAAACATACGCGTCGAATTGAGAACCTCCTCCTTTTTTGAAGTCGGTTAAAAATGGAATAAGAATTTTATTTCACATGGTGGAAAAAAAAATTGTACAACATATTATGTTTAATTTTTATTTTATGAATATTAAACCTCCCTTACTGGAATATACACCAGCGGGACTACAGAAGATCCATAACAAAAGGAGTTTTATTAAAAAAAAAAAGGTTTACATACTTCAAAAGTTGTCCATCAGAAAAAAATTCTGATCTACTTCCATCTCCAATCCCCTAATCTCCGGTGCTCAAATTTAATTTCAAACATACCCCTAAAAAGTGGCGCCGTTTGTTTTATCAGACCATCAGTAGGCACGTTTACTGTTCCATTCCATTAAAAAAATCTACACGACATCTATTTAAATATAACAAAGTATCTTCTTACAACACAAGATGGCGCTAAACAATATTTGCACACCACTTATATAGCACCAACTTTCAAAATAACAAAGGCGATAAGATGTATTCTTATGGAACTATAGTAACACACGCCCTTTATTAGAGATCCCTCGAAAATAAAAGTGTCCATGGGACGATCAATAAAGCTAATGTATTGGGTAATATAAGCCCTCTTGAATGTGGCAACAGCAGGCTACTTCATACGTGGAGACGATACTTTGAAGATGTAATGGTTGAATGATACTCGAAACAAATATTCTGATGTTTGATAACAAGGATCTTTTAAAAAATATAGGTAAGTAGTGTATAAAATAATCATTGATTCCTTGCCTGAAGTTTTCGAGCACAGCTCTACTTGATTCGGGCCACGATGGGACTCTAATTTGAGTGTAATTTTGTATTCATGATTTTTTTAAAGATAAAATAATCATGGACTCCTCGCCTGAAGTTTTCGAGCACAGCTCTATTAGATTCGGGCCACAACGGGACTCTTAGTTGAGTGTAATTTTGTATTGATGTTTTTTTTTTAAGAACCTACGATATTCTTATCATCAACTTGAAGTTATAGTTATAGAAACAGAATTCTATTATTATGATATTAAGAAATAAGTCATATTACGGCTATGAAAGTATTCTACTAAAATGTTGATGATGATGATGATACGACTAGGTAATACACTTAACAGCCCAGCAGGATAATGATTTGTTAAGGTTTCTGGGAAAACAATGGACGAAGTGGCCCGGAGGTTAAGGAGCCCGTTTCTCATGGATGAGGGTGTTTTTTTTTGTGAGGGGAAAATCATCAAATGACTGACTAAAAACCCCCCTGTTTCTTCTCCTGCTCTGTGCCGAGGTCGCGGTGCCTCATTGCGCTTACCCCGCAACATGAGGGCCAAACCTGGCAAGTACCTACCAATGTGACTTTTTCCGATCTATATGTACTTTCTTTGATTGTTTGGAAACCTGGACTTATAATTTCTTATTTTAAGTTTGAAATCGCCAACCCGCATTATACAAGCGTGATGATTAATGCTCAAACCTTCTCCGTGTGCGAAGAGGTCATTGTTCAACAGTGGGCACTTATGGGCTGATGATGATCTTGGAGATGACCTATGTCTTAGATAGTTATCACCTATTCAAAAGATGCTGGCCAACAATGAAAAGATGCTAGGGATAAAGATTTGATAAGATTTTAGTTATGTGTGTTCAGTCGTGGTTGTGGTTGGAGGCATAATTATGGACTGCTGATTCGCTTAAGGAACGGGTTGGTATTTATTCAGTGAGGGTTTGGCACTCGAACTTGTCCCATCAAGGACAGAGAGAAGTCATTTGATGATTTTCCCCCTCAAAAAGTTGTGTACAATCAACAGAAGAATAATTCTGTATTTTTGCAATCTTTATTAGTTATCCCTTGAAATAAACGTGTCCAAGGAATCTATACTAATATTATAAAGAGGTAAAATTTGTAAGTTTGTATGAAGGGGGTAATCTTTGGAACCGCTGCCTGGTCTGATTGCCAAAATTCTTTTACTGATAGATAGGTACAATGTTTCTGAGTGCTATAGGCTACAAAACATCACGCTACGGTCAAATGGAGCTGAGCAGCGGGTGAAACCGCGCGAGAGTGGCTAGTGATCAATAAAGCGAATGTATTGGGTAATATAAGCCCTCTTGGATGTGGCAACAACAGGCTACTTCATAAAAAGAGACGATACTTCAGAGATGTACAAATGACACTTCAAGAGTACTCGAAAGAAATGTAATTGTTAGGTGAGAAATATTGTAGAAGGTAGGTGTGTTGCAATCAATAAAAAAAATACGTAAGTACATTATGGCGATGTGTTTAAAGTTAAATTTTGTCATATGAGAAAGGGATACGCTTTTTTTTTCTAAAAAAATGTTACTTAATTACATCTATACTAATATTATAAAGAGGTAAATTTTTTAAGTTTTTATGTAGTTGTAGGGGGTAATCTTTGGAACCGCTGCCTGGTCTGATTGCCAAAATTCTTTTACTGATAGATAGGTACAATGTTCCTGAGTGCTTTAGGCTACAAAATATCACGCTGCGATCAAATGGAGCTGAGCAGCGGGTGAAACCGCGCGAGAGTGGCTAGTGATCAATAAAGCTAATGTATTGGGTAATGTAAGCCCTCTTGGATGTGACAACAACAAGTTACTTCATAATAGGAGACGATACTTCAGAGATGTACAAATGACACTTCAAGAGGACTCGAAAGAAATGTAATTATTAGGTGAGAAATATTGTTTTAGCCGGGGCTACGGGGTAAGCGCAATGAGGCATCGCGACCTCGGCCCAGCGCAGGAGAAGGAACGGGGGGTTTTTAGTCAGTAAGAGTCTGACACTCTCTCTCGCCTTACCCTGGGCGGGAGAAGTCATTGGATGATTTTCCCCTGACAAAAAAAAAGGTGAGAAATATTGTAGAAGGTAGGTGTGTTGCAATCAACCAAAAAACAACATACATTAGGTATAGCGATGTGTTTAAAGTTAGATTTTGTCGTATGAGAAAGGGCTACGTTTCTTTTTCTAAAAAATGTTACTTAATAACATCTATACTAATATTATAAAGAGGTAAAATTTGTAAGTTTGTATGAAGGGGGTAATCTTAGAAAGGTATTTATAAGTTTTTATGTAGGGGGTAATCTATGGAACCGCAAGTCGGATTGTCATAATTTTTTCACTGATAGTTAGCTACAATGTTCCTGAGTGCTGTAGGCTATTAAACATCACGCTGCGATCAAATGGCGCTGAGCAGCGAGTGGAAAGTAGCCAGTCATAAATACTTTTACATCTCTAATATTAAAATCGGTTCAGTGGTTTCCATGATCTGGACTTGAAAGTTAGTATTTACTTATTTATTTATTTATTTGGATCACCCACAGTTGAGTTCACAGTTCACAGTTCACTTGAGATCTGATCAGGTAGAAATCTCATAT